GACGAGGCCCTTCCCGGCCTCCGTTCGATGTAATTTTATATCACCGTGATCACCATTCTTTCTCTACAGGTTGACCGGAGCCGAATCAACAAAACACGAACCTCGCCGGAGAGCCGCCGCACCCGAGAGCGCCGCCGCCGGTAAGCTCCGTTTTTCCGTGATTTTTTGGCCCCCCGAGGGCCCTAGGGTTGTTTTCTCACAAGGACCGATGCGAGTGTGGCCGAAAACAGCCAACCCGAGGCGACTCGCCGCCGCCAGCGGCGGCGCCATCGCCGGAGCACGGCGGAGCCGCCGTGCCGGAGTTACGATTTGGACCGAAAGAGGCCCTGGGCCTAATTTGGGTTTTTTTTGGAACACGTGCAGGTACTGTTAGTGTGTTTCAGTTCCCCGGGAAAAATTCAGGGAAAATTAGGGACGGCCTGCAGGCGCACTGTGAATCGTATTCGGATCCCGAAAACAAGTAAGGACCCCTCACCCTATTTCCTATCACGGTATTAAAGTTCAAAATGATAAAACGGTATTTCTTGAATTAACGAATGTGTGAAATTGCTTAAGGTGGCTAATGGAGCCCGAGTCTAGTGTGATTGGTGATTTACTGTTATTTGGCCTGTTTACAGCTTTAAATGCAAAATGAGGTTTGATGTGTTCATTTTACAGATTTGTGTGCATATACTACGTTTTTATTAATCATGGGTTGAATGACTGAAAAACTGATACTGTATGTTGTCTGTTTGGCATGAATTACTGTTTTGCTTGTTTGTATGTGAATTGATGATGCTGACTGAGGAAAAGGAAAATGAAAGATTGTGTAGACTGATAATTGTATTATGGGGGTCAGCCTTACTAGATATCCTGGGAGATGGTGGACGGACCGGGTCCGTAGGGAACCCTACCGGGATTGTGGTCTCACATGCCGAACGGGGTATGGAGATCTTATGGTTTTGGCGCCCATACCGGACGGGGTATGGGGACGGCCCGTTTCACCCTCATACCGGACGGGGTATTGAGGTTTATGGTTTTGGCGTCCATACCGGACGGGGTATGGGGACGGCCCGTTTCACCCTCATACCGGACGGGGTATTGAGGTTCATGGTTTTGGCGCCCATACCGGACGGGGTATGGGGACGGCCCTGGAAACTGATTATGAATGTTAAAGGTTAACGGGTAGCGGAACCCCTATGGACCCCCACGGATACTAGTAGGCTGGTAAATGAGAAAAAGATATGTTGTACAATGATTGAATTACAAGAGGCGTGATAAGTGTTATGTTTTACAGCTTATATTATTCCATGATTATGATAATGTTATTGTTTTCTTATATTGTTTTCATAAGTTCCACCGAGGTAAGTGGATGGTGAAGGTTTTCATGTTAATAAACGAGTTTGTTGTAAATTATGCTCCATTGGTCTTTTTGTGTTTTTCTACCCACCTTTACCTCCGTGACGGTGAGATATCGTGATGTTCTTACTGGGCTAGTGTAGCTCACTCCTTATTTAACCATTTCAGATCAGGAAGACATGGTTCCCGAGCCCGTTCCGCAGGAGGACGACGAAGGGGATGCCTAGAGACTCCGTAGTTATACTCATAGTTTTATTTTCGAGTTTCTCTCTTAGTTAGTTTAATCTTTTATATTTTAAGTACGTTTTTGGTTTTTCGTGTAAGGGATGTTAACTAAAATTTTGATCTCGCTTCCGCATTTGATATATTTAAATACTCATTTCATTTTAATATTTCCAGGACCGTTACAAAACATACTTTATCTCTATTGGCTAACCATTTCTGAATTCATTAGTTATACAATTTAGTGTGTATATGTTTATATATATATATATGTGTATACTAGTAAAGAAATTAAATGTTTGTAATAGGACAAAAATAGACAAATAATTGCCTAATTATTATTTGTAACGATTCATCACGTGATATATAAGAATTGAGGGAGGTCGGTTCGTAATCTTGACATATTTATTTAATTTTTTATTTTATATTCTAATATTTATATTAATTTAAATTCTTAATTAATATAAATTTTAAATTATGAAATAAAAAATTTGACAAATTAAACAGATGCGAAGATTTGTAATACCCAGTATATATATATATATATATATACACACACATTTATAATATTAATATTTGGATAATTAATTATTATATTTAAATAATAATTTTTGCTTGATTAAAAACAAAGTCTCGCATATTTTATTATTTAATTTTAGAATGATAAAGATTCGTGAATTATTAATGTGTCCCAACAGCAAACACATAACTAACTTGATAATATAATGTTTAGAAAAAATAAATACATAATTGAGCTTTATTGAATTTGATAAAGAGTTTGTATATATATATATATATATATATATACACACACATATGAATATTCAATGCATTGAACAATATAAATATATAATTCCATAATATAATTAATTTAAAATAATAATAATTTTTTTTAAAAAAATATGTTATACAAAATGTAGGGCTATCGGCGTTATAATAAATTAAATTCCTACCGTGTGTTTATAAATATAATTTTTATTATATGTGAATAAAAATAATATAAATATTTCTGAAAAAGTATTTAAAAAATGTTATTCACCTTGTACAAACTCATAAAACGTAATTCATACATTTCAGCCCATCATTCACAAACGCTCCCTGCCAAACGCTGCCGTTTTTGGGTTGCGCCTGACTGGAGGAACGAAATGACAAAATAATTCCCTTCTCTTTCATTTATTTACGAAATTAACCTTCTCCTTACACCCTCGCGAGAAGCTCCCTCAATCCACTGTATCCAACTGCTTCAGGACGATGCGTTCTTCTCGCTGGAGCTAATTTTTTTTTCAGATAATAATAATAATAATAATAATAATAAATTTTCATTGGAATTAATCTCCAATGAAATCCCTAATTAGTTTCAACTATGTTAGCTTTTCAAATCCTCGGATTTCGCCTTCAAGTTTCCTTTTTCATTTCCCGTCAATGTCCCGGGAAAATCCAAGGTTACCCAACTTTTGTCGGAGGAGATGCCTGCACACTGTAAAAAAAGTAAAATTATGTCCTCCGAGAGCGTCTTCTGCTTCTGAATTGGCGAGTTATGGCGGATGGGACGATTTGGGACGAAGTAGTGACGTGGCCAGCCACGGTGAGTCAGATCGTTTACGTAGTCTTCTGGTTTCTGTAGGAGTTGATGATAAGAAGCATGTGGTTATGTTTCTTTTAGGACTTCTCTGTGCATTTTCAATATCTAGGATCAGAGTTTCTTCTATTGTTGTTTTCCCAGCTTCTGTTTTGTTATTTGCTATTGGGTTTTCATTTGGATTTGTTCGTGGCGGGAGTTTCAGTGAGGTTATTACAGCTAAAAGAAGGTCTAAAGAGGAAGGTATTAGGATTTCTCCTGAGAAATTATGCGGTTTGATTGATTTTTTTGATGGCTTTGATGTTAATGTTAGCAATTTTAAGAATGATGTGCAAAGAGCTATTGATACTAGTATAATCACGGTTAGTGATTTGGAGAACTATGTTAATGCAATGGAAAACGTGAGACTATCGGCTTTGGATGCTAGAAATGTTGTTCAGGCTTCCACTGATAATTTAGGAAATTCTAATAGTGTGTTGGAGGACCAGAAGCCAAGTAGAAGAAAGAAAGAGCCAGTTGATAGGGGATTTGACATTTTGCAGTTTGTTGGTAGTCTTTTCCGAGAAAAGTCGGCCGGTTTGAAGTATGATAGAGTAAAAGAGAATAATATCAAACAAGCAACTCTGAGGAGTCCGACCAATGATAAAACTAGAGAAAACATTTCAAGTCCCTCCACCAGAGAACAAGTTTTTGATAGACTACTAACTGATAATGAAGGAGATGCAATTTCTAGTTTCTTGCAAGATTCATCACACCAGTCATATTCATATAACAGTAGAAGAATAAGAATGGATTTAGAGGAAGGGAGAACAAATTCAGAAGTTTTGGGTGACAGTGCTAAGAGATATATTGACAACGATGAGGACAATTTCCTAAATAACAGCCGAAATTTTGTGAACAATCGCCACGTCTCTTTGAAGATGCATCATAGTAATGAAACTAGAGCTTGGGAAGCCCATGGAAATCTGCTTGATTCTATAGATCTTCATACGGAAACTAGAGCTTCATTTTTACAAGAGCAGTCACTGAGGAATTCTAGCCAAAACTATAAGTCTTCATCCAGCAAGAAGAAGATCGAAAACAGGATTTACGGATCTCGAGTCAGAAAAACTTATAGGGATGAACTCAATCTCCTCAGTCATCTCCCCGCACATAATGGTGAAATTAATTTGCCATCATCTTCAGAGTTTGCAAATGATGAGGTATTCAATAGGTATCTAACAGGAGCCAATAACCTTCTAAAAGAGGCGAAAGAGCTTATCAGGGGCAGATATAACGAAGAGCAAGCAGAAATGATCTTACGAAAATCTGCTCAGTTACTCTCCAAAGCTATTGCTCTTAAGCCTATGAGTTTATTGGCGGTTGGCCAGCTGGGCAATACATATCTTCTTCATGGAGAATTGAAGTTACATGTCACTCGTGAATTGAGAGCTATCCTTTCAAAAAATGATGCTACATTTTCTGATGAAAATAGAAAAATAATTAGCAGACGAGATCATCAATTTGAGAGTAGAGATGAAATTGCATCTGTGCTTATTAATGTCTGTGAAGAATGTGAAGAACTCCTTGTGGAGGCTGGTAGAAAATATAAACTGGCATTGTCAATTGATAGGAATGATGTGAGAGCATTATACAATTGGGGGCTTGCTCTCTCCTTCCGTGCACAATTAATTTCAGATATTGGGCCGGTATGTACTCTCTCTTTGCGTTTAATTAGCATGTCAGTTGCTCATCAAGGAAGAACTTAACTCAGTCAGCTTAATTGGCTGTGCTGCAATCCTGGTACTATTCTGTTGTATGATTTGCACCAGGTTGCTTATATAGGCTTAAGAAATCAGAGGTTTCCTCAAACTGGTCATCAAGAAGGTATTTAATCAAATCAGTCAACTCAGCTTGGCTGTGTTGCAAATCATGTCTCAGGATCTGTACCAAGCTGCTTGTTTAGGCTTAGCAATCAGTAGATTTTTGAAATTTATTTGAGAGTTGACATATATTGTTTTTTCCCTCTGAATTTGGATCTAGAGTATCTGTTAATATTTGAGGTTATAAAAAAAATGAATCTTCTGAATTTCAGGAAGCTGCGGTTGATGCAGACAAAGTGTTCATGGCTGCAATTGATAAATTTGATGCCATGATGTCCAAAGGCAATAATTATGCGCCCGATGGTATGTTTAAGTTTGTTCTTTGTATGTCTTGACATAGAAAAGATACAAAGTTGATTTACTAAATTGTTAAGGCATTTTGGAAGTAAATAACTTAATGGCTAGCTTTTTGGAAGGGGTATTTGTGGGTGCAAATGACATTAAAAGCTAAAATTGAAAGAACTGGTAGAATGTATTTATAGTTGCTGAAAAAAATGGGTTATGCAATTGCTAAGAGAGCGTTTGGGATTGCCGAAGAAATATGGGTAGGTGGGTGCTGCTCATTGGTCATAACCACTACCTCAATTTGGCTCAAGGTACTAAGAGGTTGTGAGATTAAGCAGAGATCCTAAGTTTGGAGCTAAGGTTATCTCCATTACTGCAATGGGAAACATATCTATTTGTTATTACCTAGAGCAGCAGTGTGGAAATATAAAATGGCAAAAATTTGGTCCTTAAAATTATTTCGAATAGGGTCTTGTTTCCGCACAGCAATGATTACTCTTCTCAAATAGGAGTGTAAGGCTGCAGTGTTCTGATAATTTGTGTATTGACATGTTAATTGCAGCTTTATTCAGATGGGGCGTGGCATTGCAACAAAGATCACGACTGTGGCCAAGTAATAGTAAGGAGAAGGTGAAGTTACTTGAGCAAGCTAAGAGGCTATACGAAGATGCACTCCATATGGACTCGGAGAATTTCCAAGTAAGAGAGGCTTTATCATCGTGTATCTCCGAGCTAGATTACAGAATCTTTTAGCAATGTCTGTGTTACCGTGAAAATTTAACAGAAACTCGTAGACATGTTTCTAACTTTTCCTGTGTTAAATAGGAAAAGATTTTTGCTGACGGGCGAAAAGAGAAACCCATCTATCAATGCTTTTATTTATATCGATTATAGATTATTACGTAATATTACTAAATTACTATATCGTCTAGACTTATAAAAGATAGGATAAGCAATCCGTATGAAAATAGATTTGTGTCGGACATAAAATATTAGCATGGTTGGTTTTTGGTCTGAGTTTTGAAATTTAAATTTGATCTGTTTAACAATCTGTATTAGATTTTTCAAGTTCCAATTTTATGAAACCATAAGAAACAATTCTTCCTTAAAATGTTCTATTTAGTTGGTTTTTGATTAATGAGCTTAAAATTTTCAAAAAAGAAAAGAAACTTAAAAATTGTCAAATACAACGGGTAGAAGAGATGAGGCTTCTCCTCCTCCACATCCGTCAGTCCCAAAGCAAAACCAACCTCCCGTTTCCAAGTTGATATCTCGGACAGCTGGAAAAATCTTTTATCACTCTCGGTAATGTTTACCAGTTAATATTTTTATATTATATTATTTATAAACTTAATTTTAAATAATTTTAATAAAAATATCATAAAAAATTAAATAATAAATGTATTGTAATTTTCTTACAATAAAATAATGTATTTATATATATATATATTTTTTTTTTTTTTCTAATGAGGCGGAATGCAACCAATGGAATAATTTCCTCATACCTACTCCACCGTACAAACAACAGAATAATAATAAGAATTCCTATCGATTCTCACCTTACCCCGACATTCTTATCCCATTTTCTCCAATAATGGCCGTCCCTAATCAAACTCATCATCCAAGTACAATTAAATTATTTCCGTGCAGTTTTTGATCGATTAACATACATTTTCTTGGTGGATTATTCCCATCGTTGTCAAATTAAATTATTGAATACATTTCTTAGAAAAAAAAAAAAAAAAAAAAAGCTTATTGTTGCTTCGTTTCAATCTTTCGTCGTTACGAGATTCAGGATTTTCAATTTGAATCCTCAATCTTCTACGACCTTAATTGTTTCATGAATACTTTGATCATCCCTTCAAAAGTAACAATCCCAGCCAAGCTCCCATCTTCTTCAACAACCCAAACGTAACATACACGGTGTGCCAGTGCCTGAATCATCACCGCCACCAACGAGCTCCATGGATAGCACACAATTCCTTCTGACCTCCTCACCATCCTCGCGGAGTACCCCCCAAATCTCCCGCTCTTCCCCATCCCAAACTCCTCGTCCGAAGATGAGCACGAGGAGAACGATGAAGAGGACGAATATGAAATCCCCAATTCTTCATCCATCATTTCCAGGGCCGCCCCAAAATTCTTCTCCTCCAGCCTCTCCTTCACCAACCTTATCAAGTCCTCAGGTGGTCCTCCACAGTCTATGTAAGCCATCAAGTCACCTGCAGAGAGCGTAGCAATGGCCGCTGCAACGGACTCGACGCATGAGTAGAGCATGAAGGGTGATATTTCGCCAACGAGTTTGTTGTCATTGTCGAGGATCGCGACCGAAGTTTGTCTTAAAATGGATTGAGCAATGGAAGGCAAGGCAACCGATGCAGGATCGTCGTAGTAGACAGTGAGGACTTTATCGGAGTCGATGATGTTGAGGGAGTTTATAGGTTGGCCCGGGATGGGAAAGAAGACTGAAATGGAGTTGAACAGGTAGCGGATGACATCCTCCTGTGTTAGCCAGCAGTATTGACTGTTGTTGTGAATTGTTCCGCTCATGGAGGATTTTGAGAGGAGCTTTTTCCTGGAATTTGTGGTTGGGGTACGGAGAGGTATCACAAGGTTCTGTGTACCCTCCACTATGAGATCCATGGCTTCCCATAAGCTGAAAATTTTATAAGAGGATGAAATTAGAACCGTGAAGCAAAAAATTATTCATAAATGCAGTAATGTTTTACAATTTAAGACGGCTCTGAAATTTTCTCCTGGTTCTAAAAAGTTAACTACATGCATGCATTTGAAACTTAAAAAGCTAAAAATATTATTTAAATTAATTTTGTTGAAACAAATATTTAAAATTTCTAAGTTACTGGTACACAGATTGTGAAACATTCATTTCTTATTAAATAATTATCTTAAATAGAAAAAAAATCAGTTGAATCGAAATCCGATGCCTGAACGAAGAATTCAAAGAAGAAGATACAAATCCAGATTAAAATTTTAACCTCACCTCGCGGTAGGTTCTAAATGCTTAACAAGACCAGGGATCTTAGGAACCAAAACAGAGAGCTGCGCCTGCAACGCAACGCCAGGATTCTTCAAATTCTCTTCCTTACAAAGAAAGCAGACCACGTCCCCTATGCAAACCTTTCCTACGCATCGACAGCCAGAATCCGCCTCCTCAGCTTTAGCGTGGTCGCCGCAGCTCCATACACTCAAAAAACCTTCGCCGAACTTCCTCAGCGCCGCCAACGCTTCGGCGACGGTGGAGGAGATCGATAGCGTCCTCAACGACGGTTTTCCAATACAAAGATCTGACACCTCATGCCGCAATAAATTAACTGCCATACACAGAGGAAAAGTACCGGGCAATGAACCAGAAAAGAAAGACAGATCTATAGAAACTGATCAACAAAGAAATATATAAGCCGGTTTCGTTTGTCTTGAGCACAGAAACGGCTACCTAAGCAGAAAGGATGAGAGATAATATACGTATAAATAAATACGTATTAATGGAGGTTTCTAGAGAAAGAGAAGGAGAAAGAGAATGAAAAATGGAAGAAGAACAAGAGAGAGTTGTTAGTGGAGAGGAGAAAATGGAGATAGAAGAGGTACTGGTAGAACGAGAGGATTTTAGGGTATTTATAGGAGAATTATTACCGCTTATACCCGGTCAGCAATTACAGTCTGTGATAGATGATGAGGGCTCTGACTATATGAGGACCTCTTACCTATTACCTACTGGGTTTTTCAACTTTTTGTTAATTTGGTAGGTGCGCGGTTCGAGCAAAACCGTTTTGGTTTTTTTCTTTTTTTTTTTTTTAAACCATAAAATCAAATATATTATGTCTATATATAAAAAATGTTAGTTATCAAATATTATTTATTAAAATGATTTTTTAAATTTATAAATTATTAAAATTAAAATGATTTTATACCAAATTTTAAAATTAATTATTTCTGGATACGGGCAAATGGTGCAATACCCATAATGCCCCTGATACTATTTAGAAATAATTCTCTACGGGTAAACCTAGTAATAGTTTATTAAAATATTCATAATTAATTATATAACCAATATTATTAAATTAAAATGATATTGAAGTTTCATGCTCCATTAAAATAAAACAAAAATATCAAAATAAATTTTTAAAAACATTATCTTTCATATATATGATCCTATTTTTTTAGAAAAATTATTTTTTTATAAGAAGTTCATATGTATAAATACTTCGATAATGTATTATTTATTATATAAATTATTATTTTTTAGATAATTCATCTTGTTATTCACCTCTTCATCTTCTCAAGTATTTTAAATTATCACTACACGTTATTTTTGATATTCATGACATAAGTAATAAGACGATTAAATTTGTTCTCATATTATTTCAAGACTTCTGCATGTGACAATATGCTATTTTTATATCATTTTTTCAATTTTTAATTTATTTTATTTGATGAGAGGTCGAATTATTATTCTTTGATACAAAATACTCACGTTTTAGAGAATTTTTACACATGACAATAGCATAATTTCTTACCGGTTTGTTTGTGTATGTTTTCGTAAATATTTAGTTTAAATTAAAGATTTATTGGATGATAAAAAAAAAAATAAAATTATATTTAACTAGTATAAAAATATAAAGAAACCAATATAATATTGAATTTTATCATACTGATCATTTTAATACTAGAGTTAATAGATATAATAAATGAAATATTAAGAAAACTAGAACATCTTCATTTAGGTGATGTCACCTAATTCACCATTGATTTTGTAACAAGATATAAATGAATAATTTGGTCTTATAATTATAAAGATAAATGGTTTAACTTTGTAATTTGAATAATTTCTTTTATTTGATCTTGCCTTTTGATTATACATACTAGTCTTAACGATTTTATGAGTTATTTATTCTATAATTGATATTAAAGATTGAATAGTCTATTATAAAATAATATGGTGACTATTATAAAATGTCATGTGTTACTTATCATATGGTTGGTCCTTGATTTTTTTATGTATTAATTAATTATTATTTAATTATATATTTTGTTTAAACTAATTATTAACTAATTAACTATTTATTTTTTAATTTATCAATTAATTCATCAACAAAATTTATCGTTATTTTTGTTAGATTTTTAACGACAAAAGAATTTTGACCCATTAATTTGTTAATGTCTCTTATTCATAGGGTTTACAACGAAAATGTAAAGAAAAAAAATGGCAAAAAACATTTTGACAACAAATTTATATCAAATTTTTTATTAATTTTTTTTATTTTGTTTTTATTATATACCTAAACTATTAAAGACACCCATTTTTAATTTATATAATATTTCAAAAAATTTATTATAAAATAATGTATATTTAAATTTTTATACTCATTAATATAATACCATATATGATAATATTAAAAGTATAAGATATTCAACTACATTTATTGATTTTAGTAACTGAAATAATATTTGTCAAATTTTAAAATAAAATATAAGAAAATTTAAAATTAGTGTGAGAGAGTGCTAAGGCAATGGCAAAAAAACCCACGCTAAGAACAAATATTTAAACTTTTGTGTTTTTTTGTATGTTATACAAGACCTAAAGCGAAACAATTAATGTTCATATGTACCAAAAAATTCACTTGAAATTGAAATATTACTAAATGGCTTAGCCAATAATATTTTGAGAATACGATAAAAACTAATTGATAACGTGAGTTTTATTATTAATAATTTACAAAAACTAAAATAGTTTAGATGTTGTATTAGTTCATAAAATTACTTAATGTTGTAATTTTGCTATGCATAAAAAATAAAGTCGATCACCTAAATATCCAAAAGAATAGAGAAATACCTCAAAGTTAGTTAATGGGAAAGAAATCATACTTCCATATGCTACCTCACGAGTAAGGCAGCACAAATTGAATTGAAAGGGCAAGAAATATAAGGAATAAAGTTGATATGTAAATTTTATAATGTAATAGAATCAAGTTGATCATGTAAGTATTCAAAGAGAGAAAGAAAAATTTCAAAGAAGGTTACAGGAAAGAAGTTAATTTATATATTCAAACACCATCAATCTTATTATCGACAAACTAAATAGAAGTCAGTTAATTAAAACTTTAACGGAATAATTTTCGTGAAATAACATATTTGACAATCACATGTATGACAATTGATTGTTCTCTTTTATGTTTTTATGTATATAGATAAAGTTATAAGTAATTGTTAAACTTATAGGAGCAAATATTGTTTCATATATAAGGTTTTATAAAATTGGATTAAATAAAAAGTTAGATATAAAATAATAAAGTTGCTTAGTACTGTAATTTGCTTATTCAAAATAATGAAGTTGGTCATATAAAGATTCAACATTGAGAAAAAAGATCTTAAATTTAATATCCAACTTTAACTATAAGAGTGTAAAGTATACAATAACATATGAAGTATAAATTTTTATTTAATTTGAAAAATAAAATGATATTTATATGTTATATCAAACCTCAAAATAATTTATATAGTTTATTTCATATGTTTGCTCGGTATCCAACATTTATTAGTTGATTAATTTAGTTCACAAAATTCCAATTGTGCTTTAATTAATATAGGATAGGAAA